TTTACAATAACTTTTTTATTGTAAACGAACGATGTCAGCTTTGTTCCTGACATTCTACTTACCGCAAAAAAAAAAATCCATTAACTCAAGAGAAAAATAACTTTCGATTTAATTTTTCGGCCGGACCTTTTTTGGCATTCAAATTAACAACTCATGTTGAGTCGCCGACATGTATTGTATCAAAGTCTCTTCATGAAAACAATTTCAGGGAGCAACTTAAACTAACTTATGAATTACTTGGAAACAATCTCAGATAGGTAAGGTACACTCGATGAACGAGATGAAGTTAGTTCTTTAGAGTGGCTTACGCCTGAATCAACGTAAACCCAGATCTATAGACATTATTAGAAACTATTACTCTGATCGCAAAGAAACAAGTCCAATGCTGTTTATGTCTTGCTTCGTTGTCGCTATATTAAAAGACGGCAAACGACCGTTTCGCAAACAAAAATATTTTTACACGTTGGCGTTGGAACAACCCGGTTGCTGCACGTACACACGCAATAAACCTGCGCGTTATCTTTAAAAATATATTTACAGTTCCTTGGCGCAAATAGAGTCATTATTTAAAATGAAACCGTATTTCAGACCGGAGTGTATGCAGAACGATTACACCGGTCCGGTTACAATGCCAGATAAAATTCTAATTTGTTATGAAAATGTACTGAGTTCCCTACCTACACACAGTTCTCACTTAATTTTCTCGAGGAAAGAAACGGAGGCAGTTTGAAAGCAAGATTGAATCGGTACGTCTCGGCAGCATCTGTTGGGGACGGAGATTTTAATACGAAAGAATGCAGTAGTAAGCGCCCGTGGCATACAAAGCGGAACTATGCGACGCGATTAATACAAAAAACGATTCGAATATAACAATATTACGCCTCTTTACTTGGCCTCTATAAACCAGCCATATTGACTTTTGAAACATTGAAATTCTATTCAAGTGCGACCGAGGTCATTACTTAAACTTTGACACTACTAACTTGAACGATTTTACAAAATTAAATTCATGAAATTGGTACTCGTGGAATTGAGTGGATCTCGATGTTCTCAATGTTTTTTTATTTAGCAATAACAAGTAAGCCAGGGGATGGAATGTTATGTTACATTTTCCCTTTGTCTTTACGACAGAAAGACTGCGATGTTTACGATACGGCAGAATACAGAGCCGGTTGGTTTCCATAAGCCTCCATTTGTAAATAGTTACCTTTCTCACGAGATAACTTCATCTTGTTGATACAAGATACGCATTGTAAAAGCGTTGCCGCCATATGCAACTGCAACTTTGTTTATTGTCCAATGACATGAGAAGCTTAGCGGGTGTCATTTATTCTTGGTAATATCTCCAGTTGCGGAGTTACGCTACACTTGGAAATGTTCTAACACTTCACAACACAACTACACAATAACTACTTGTGAGTTTGTGTAGCACAGACACGCTTAGTTACACTTTTGTTTGAACACATACGTTTATCTGCCTTTTCGCCAAAGTTAATTTCGGAAAGAAAATAACAATAAGATTTTTCTTTTATTCGTTCAAAATCTAATATGGATTCAGCCGCTGGGCTCAATATATTTATATATATATAAGTTCTTTGTTACTTTTGTCCCTGCACGGAGATAATCTAGATACATAGGTACCCTCATATTATCCTTTATGAATTCGATAGTATAACCTAATAATATATATACCTATATATCGTCATTAAGTAGTGCGAAACGAAAAGAAGTTTTCGTATTTTACTGGTTTACAACCTAACCTTTTTTGTATTTATCACAATTAGATGTAAATGTATTTGCTGTTTAGAATAAGTGATATTATTCAAAGTAAATTATTCAATTGATGGTAATAGCATTACAAAAGAAAAATACTTAATAAAAGTAGACAAAAGTAATAATAAAAGATTGAAAACACTTTCTACTGAATGTTAGAGAGCTCTTAAACGTTTGTAGGACCTACGGCTACGTAAGTTCTACAGCGACGAAAAGAATTTATAACTTTAACAGAACGAGATCCTGCTCTATCATCAATTATATCTACCAACTCAAGTAATTCCAACAACTGCTCCAGAATAATTTTAATAAAGAAGGAGGACAGACTTTTAGATTTTAAAGTTGGAACCACAATCTCTATAGTAGTTATATTTGTCTTTGTATTTATCATCAAGGATAGTTTCGAAGCCTGACTCAATTTAATTGAAAAAATGGCCGCCGAGATAAATCTGTTTCAAAATAGGTTTTCTGTTCGTCTACAACACAAAAAATAAAATTCAATTTCATTATTGAGCATCACTTGGTGAAAACAAACGACTGGACATCAGCGACCCCAAAAGATTTACGATGTAGCAAGAGAAAATTTTATTATACTTTCAATTCGTACCCACCTCCGAAATAATCTACCGGCTGATATAAAATACTAGGGCTGAACTAGCTTTACCTGCGAAGAGTATTTTCATCATGGCCAGATTGGCAGTAATATAAAGCATTACCCATCTTGAGTTAATTATATTATCAAGTCAGACAATTTGCGTCAGTAATGTCATTATGAAAAGGTAGGGAAAGGTTGTGAGTTTAATAAGGGCCGTATTAGAGGAGCGACACAGGAATGGCGCCACTACGTGTAACAGCGCTGAGCGAAGGCAAAATTCTCTGATATAATGTATCGGAGCAACTGTGCGAACTCATCGATCAAACGAAAGCGCTACAGTTGTTAGCCTGTGACGTCGCACGTAGGCACACTTCTCGCTTCTCGTGTGAAACTTTCGTGTTCAGCTTTCGAAACTGGTTCTCCGCAGCCCGATGACACTGTCGATGCTAGCAATATTCATAACGTTGAGTCTACTTGGCACTACGAAATAATAACGGCAGCTATAAAGCGTCGTAACTTGGATAACCGATATGTGTCTATACGTACACTGAACCATGAGTTACATAATAATTTCATAAAAACGTTTCGAAATAGTTATGCATTAATTAAGAATCTAATGCACGATAACCTATTTTAGAGCATTATTAAAGGCCTGACAAGCTCGTTTATTTTCACAGCGAGTCATGAGCGAGAATGAAATACTCTTTAACAAGCCGATACTTTGATGATATTTACGTTAAAATTATCCTACTACAAAATATCAATATCAGTCTAATGTGTCCTTTCTCTAATTTATTGTGAAAAGCCTTAAAAAAAATAGTGTATTCATTAAACGCAAAGAGAAATTTCAAAACGGATTAAATCAGGGCCACGTTCCCGTTCCGTTAAATAAATTTATAATTAAGTAACACGTAAAGCTTACAGAATGTACGGTAATATTATATTTCCAAACGAATGTCCTTCTCGGCTTTATTTACAAAAGAAAATGCTTATGCGGCTTATCCCAATGTAAAATTTATGTCTTTAATATCTTGAAAATGATGTCATAAGATATAAAATACACAGATTTGTACCCTGGATGTTACGGGGGTTCATAGCCACGATTTTTATTTCCCCTTTTTAATCCGTTTGATCGTCCAATGATATTTATAGCTAATGTCAATAAAACAGGTAGGTTTAGGAGCTGTAAATGTGATGTGTGTATTATTAAAGTTTTCTAAAAAGATATAAGTAAATCAGGATCATTGCCTTTGGACGTAAGGGTTATCCATGTATAAAGTTCTATTTCTATTACAAATATTAGCATATCAAAATTGTAAACAAGATGTAGTGTGACCTACACGTCAAGTTTTCCAATACCTTCTCTAGAATTCTCACGTATTGTACCATACAAATAGTCACCTAATTCGTGAGCTTGACCTGAAAAACCCTCAATAGTCAAGAAATAGGTTATTACGAGGTAATTTCAGACCGGAAACTACAACAATGCTTACTTTTTAATAACAATAATAACTACATCAATTTCTTAGATCGACTTAAAAGAATGCGGACAAAGCGTCAGCGGAACAAAGCGTGTGAACAATGGCTAAAGAAAAATACATACCAAGTACAAAATGCTTTGTCAATCCAGCTTTTAGCAAAAATTCATTCAAAAAGATTGACTCTCATTTCAATTATGTTAAAGATTTATTATCGACGGCCAGCCACTTGCTTTAGAGGTTTCATAAGCTTGCCTAAATTAAAAACCCTTTCAATATCATTATTCAAAACTTCTTCCTTCTCATGACCTTTTTTCCGAGCTGCTCGGGGTCGGCACTGAGTCTGAACTAGATTCAGCCCGGTGTCAGTATTTTACGAACTGACGTCGACGGTTCCAGTACTATCCGAGTCGTGGGTAAAACATCACCACTCGCGAAATACGAAACTGCTACATGTAATTTATAAACAAAAAATCGGAAATTGTATTCAGAAAGGCCGATAAAAATCTGTTTTTATAAATTGAGAGTGAATTCGAATATTGTGGAAGTAAGTTGCGAACATAGCGAGCGTGATTGAAATGTCATTTTTATTGATTTTATCGGTGCACGTCCCGAGCATTATTCCCGTGAATAAATGATGCTCTTACAACTTTATTACATTGATGAGAATCTGGTATTGAGTAGTCACGGGACAATCAACGTCTCGGTTCGATTTCAATAAGTGGTACAAGATTGAAACCCTTAATCTATGTATACAGCGCTCAGGTGAGGTACATTATGAAGACGTCGGTACGCAATATCTCCTTTACTGAGTTATTTTATTCTTCTCGCAGCTAATACCATTCGATTACAATCCGTGTGTAAGGCGGAATATCTTTGGGACACAGCGAGTGATTTTCTTTGTACAAAGTTAAGCGGAACTTGATCCGATGGCATAAAATATAGCGGCCATGTGCGGGACTTTTTGTTTTCTTTTCGATGTTCTTTCCTTGTTGCAGTGTAGTCTCGTATTAGGGTCGTCTCCTATATTTATTATATAAACACGCCACTTGCGATATTGGTTATCGTAGAGAAGGGATATGTTTGTTTTGTGAAACGTTTGTGACTTTAGTTTATAACTTCATACATGGTTTACTTAACAGTAATGTACTTACATTCATCGTGATCTTTGGCGGTGACGGTGAGTACGGTGTGTTGGATGTCTTCATTCTCGTCGACCTCCGCCTCGTACAGCTCTTTGTCGAAATATGGCGGGTTGTCATTCTTGTCAGCGATGCCGATGCGGATGAATTTAGTCACTGGAAAAAAGAAGCAGACGTCAGGTACACAGCATGTATTGGGGGACACTCGTCGTGACAACACTATAGAGAGGCACGTATCTATGTATGTAGGTAGGAATATCGGAGCTCGCCTGTTTGGCTATAAAATAAAATGATGTATTGCGCGAGAACAGAAGAAAGCTTTCAGTGCGAAACTGACATTACGTATAGGGCGGGTGCGCTCTGAATACAAAACTATTGAAACATTTTATAAAATACAATTTAACATCAATAAGCAGTCAATCAAGAGTTTATTTTCACTGGATTTTATTACGTAACTTTTGCCGTAAAAGCAATTTGTCTGAAAATTTACCATTATTACGCCCAAATAATTCTGTGTAATGGCAAAAGAAATGGCAAACAGCGAACAAGAACTTGTTCACGAATCACTGGTTATCATCTGAGGTCTCTCGCTCCAATAGATAAGTAAAAAGTAAAAACCTTTGCGAGAAACTGTACGTCAACGTGAATTATGCACAGCTCTATGAATTTGTGGGCCTACGTGTATGAAACGTGTTTATATACTCGATAGACTCCCGATCTGAAGCCGCTTTCAAATTTGCCAGTCGTTAAATGTTAGACGAGCTTCGTTTGCAGCCAGCAGACGGCCGTTTACAACTGACTGTTTAATAAAAACAGAAGCATAGAACATCGGCAATAGCTTTCACGTTTGACGTTGGTACAAAGCGTTGTTCGAATTAGTACCTACCACTTGTTACAATAAAGTCTGAATTCTTATCTTATCTACAGAAACGAGGACGAATATAAGAGAGAATAACTGTACAGAGTCAAACAATAGAATCCTTTAATTTCCACGATGCCCAGCCCCGAGATGATATCGGTATATTTTTCAACTCCTCTCCGCTTCGTTCATTTCCGTTTTGACAGTCAGTCTTGTGTACATTTAAAACAAATATTTCTATTAGTTACTGTACAAAGTTCTGATATTAAAGTATAAAAATATCGAGCTCTCAACAAAAATTGGTGTCTTTGTTCAGAGGACATTAAAACAAATCAGATTAAGCACTTATGCAATTAATCTATCTAGATATATTTGTATAAATTAATTTGATTTTGTTCTTTTTGAAAGCTTCTGTAATAGAATCCTAATTGGATGACATCAAATGAACTCTAAGCTGAGTACTCGGGAGAAATCGTATCTAAAAAAACGAATTCTAGACGGAAATTGCTTTCGTTTGAGGCGCACTCTAACAATGATAAATTAGGACCCCTCCGGGCAAAATGTCCGGCGGCTTTATTAGCAAACATACGGAGGCTTTTAAGCCAAGCTACAGTAATCTAGTCTTTATCTCCAGTGACGTAAAGCCGTTGGTGACATGGAAAACAATGGAGGTGCCTACCGACCTGCCGCTTTCTCCGACTTCATCTCTTATGAATTGGTGACAAAGCCTCGACGGCAGCAAACTAATGCAAAATTACAAATCGAATTATATTATTATGTAACTACAAATATTGGTTGAACTAAACAACTTGTGTTAATGTTAGTTCTACGACAAACTTTGTTATTAGGTCAGTCTATTTGTACGTCTTCTTCAATATAATTTCGATTTGTTCAAGACAGGGCCCTTTTATAAACATTTATGTAAAATCTAGAAGTTTAAATTAACTAGTTTGTTTAATTTACAGTTCCATTGTTTATCTTTGTCATGTTACTGTAGTGTAGTTAAATTCGTTTCGTTTACATGTTCAATAATGAAAAATGTGTCTTTAATAATTGTTTCGATTTTATACCATTTAAAACAGTTTCTGTTACAGTTTGGGAAAGTGCTATATGCCGTAGTTAAGAGGACATGACGTTGAATTTCGGATTGAATACTAAATTAGAATGTTCGGGAAGTTTGTCGAAGAGTCGTTACGTCAAAGCGGCGGTGTGCTCGGAGCATAATCCCTTACTACCGCTTAGCGGATGACCATGAAACACCGCACCACTCTCCCTTCCTGTTAAAATGGAGTTGAATTTGACTGCTATAAAAACTAATCAGGGACACTAAGAGCGGTCTAACGACGCCGAAAGCGACTTTTTGACAAACACGCGAGGGGCGGTCTGCGCCAAACTTCGGCGGGACAATTTTGTTAGCGAACTTTTCTGTCAACGGTCGCATAAAACGAAACCGAAATCATCCAGTTATAATTAAATAAAGTCGAGTCGATAAAATCAATATACTTTTTACTCTTCAATGTACGTTTTATTTGAAATTGAGTTTTACTGACTTGTTTGCGTTTGCTCGAGGAAGCTTCTAGATAGCGAAATCGAAGTTTCAATAACATGAATACTTTATGACTTAAACTGTGTGAGAACTTAATTTTGAATCAAACAAGGACTAATTTGACTTAACACTGTTATGATACCGAATCTGTGCCAAAGTAAATAATGTGGAGCGGGACCGATCTCTTGTGAGGAACACATTATACTGCTTCCTTATGTTGATTTACAACATCCGTGGGAACACCATTGTTTTTCTTTTGTTTTCAAATAAACATGAAAATTACAATATCGATTACGTTATTATAGAACAGCTTGTTAAATTGTTTTGATTGGGTATACGATTTCGAGAACTAGTTAACGAGTGCAAATCTTAAAATGGTACAGTCGGGATAAGCTTTGCCTCTCGATTGGCAACCAGTGAATCTGTTTGATCAATCGCATAGGGTTCAACATTAGTATTCCCCTTGCACAGCAATCAAACGCAGCGGTACAGCGGCGTAACGAGCTTCCTGCAAACTATATCCAGTTACCTACAAGTACCGCGGCATCAGCGGCCGTATTCATACAGCGCGCCCTAAGGGCACATTCACACAAGCTAAACACGTGTTATACATGTCAAGTTTATGAGTAGTGTACACTAGTGAGTGTTTATGAACCTGTTTTCATCTTTATACTGTGTAATGACAAACAGCCGCAAGCCCTCGTCGGAGTGACGCGGACGGGGCACTACGAGTGCCGCCCATTGTAACAACCTTCTGACATTCTACGACTCAACATAAATTAGGGCAATAAGCAATTACCACTTAATGCTATGTCGAAGGAACACGCATTATGTTACTAACAATAATCATTACAAATGAGAAGTGGTCCGTGTACAGATATTTATGAAACAAAGGATCAACACGAACAAAAACAAGGGGTATTTACAACTTGTGGCTTTGTACGAGAATCATTTAAATATTACTAGATAATAGTTGTTACGAGTTTCGCAATTACAATTTCAAAGTTTTAGTGCCCAAAAAGGATATACATCAAACTGTATTTACTAAAACTAAGCTGCAAATACATTTGCATAATCTCGAAAGTTCATGCAAAACAGAAGGGGACTCGACTACAAATAAGTTATGTTTTTTTTTGCCTCATAGGCTCAATGACGCGGAATAAATATTACTTTCATATTAACATAATTTAGTTTGTACTTCCAAGCGTAATATATAATAGCTGCATTAGGCCGTATCCTAAATCTACTCAGGTACTGGCCATTTCCTAATTAGACGATGTCAGAAGGTACGTGCATTTAGAGGTTAGGATGCTGAGATATGTCTAAGAGGACGATTTAAATATTGTATGAACCGAGCTTGTTCATTAAAAATAGCCGGCAGCCGTTGTCCGAGCAGCTTATCTGCAGGACACATTCATACAGCGGTGTGCTGATAATGAAATTCTTTATCAAGAGGTGCACGGAGTGGCGGGACGTGCCTTTACGCGGTCGGGGCTGGCGGAAGGTCGAGTGCCGAATTATGGAAACAAAGTAGATACGACGCTCAGTATCGGCAGTCCTTCCAATTTTTGGTCATGTAGGAATCCTTTTGGATCCCTTCAAGAACATTATATGGCTACGAGAATGGGTTCGAGAAAAAAGGTTAATAGGAAAGCTGTGAGCAGTGGACTAGCAACCTGTTACAATGAATGCCTTATTAAATGCATTTCGTTTATAGCAAGTAGCTATAAGGAACGAGAACGCTGCGGGTTAGATCCACTTACTGACCAAGGGAGGGTTAATAGAGTTTTGATCCGTAAGAAATTGTGTACTCTTTGTGAACCACAAGTAACGGTCCTTTGTCTAGGTAGTTTTTAAAACAAGCTTCTTTTTGTAATAAGCGAAACAAAGGTAAGGTTTGTATTTAGCCGTCGTAACAAATACGAGTTCGGACCGTCCGTCTTGTCCGATTACTGACTCCAGAACAACGGGGCTCCGACTCGCGCCTCGAATCCGTAAAAATCCAACGTCCCTTCTGCAATCGTCTTATCTGATCTGCCCGAACTACTTTGGAAGATAAATGGGGATTGTTCTCTTTCAGTGAAACCGATTGAAAACCAGTGCTAAATTTTAAAATCTATTCTTTGGTGCGATAAATTCTGGGTATTTTGGGATCTTCAAAAACGAATAGCTTTAATAAATATTCTGGTGTTTTATTGAGATTTATGTTAAAAGTAAATGCACTACTGAGAACAGGTTTTATACATTTATAAAGATTTTTGTGAGAATCGAAAAAGTAGATTTAACTCCACATTAATAACTTTAACGTTGGTCCCTCAGGAATAAAACCACTCAATGGGTTCTTCATTTTCCTAGAAATAAAAAAGTGGTAGTACCTACGTTGTTCTTTGTTTTACTCCGTGCACATGCATGGCGTTCATTACTCCGATTCCAGTTTCAATTATTAGTAGGAACGGGATTTTTGCGAAGCTTTCGATCGTTTCAGCGGTTCGCTTTTTGCGTTAAACGGTGTGTATCGTAATGGTCTCGGAAACAATAAACCACGAACGGTATAGCTTTGCGATTTTACACATAACATAGAGCTATGTCCACAAGAGCATACGTATGGACAGATACGCTTACAGAATTGGCAAAATGGCGTATAATAAATCAATCTTTGGCTAAAGTAATTGGTGGCTTGGACGCAAACAAACTATTAAATTTGGCCACGGCCTCCATATGTATTTTTATTTAGTTCGGATGAGAGGGAGA